TGGAAAGGGAAGAGGAGCTGGTAAGGAAATATTCAGCTCTAAGTCCTGCTAAGTTCGCAGAGTAATGAGCCTCTTCATAATATTTATTAACCCAGAAACAGGTTTTTTTTTTTTCTCTGTTAAGTAGTTATCCATAGAAGATATTCACTTTTTGCAGCACTCAAATCATATACTCTGGTCAAGAAATCAAAACGTCTGCACTTTGTCTGGTTCCTCCTTTGCAAGTTTAGTCCGGCATCTGAAAATGCCATTTCTGGCTCAGCTTACCAGGCCCCATGTCACTACTATCAGCCTAAGCAGGCAATGAAGAAGCTCCACTGTATCAAGAGAGCAGCTGTGTGTCAATAGTAGCAGTCAAAGTGGAAAGAAAGTGTTTCCTTCCCATGTCACAGAATGGAAGAGGGGATACATAAACCTGGTACAATTAATTGTGCTGCAAATGAAGTTCTAGAAAAGTATTCATCTGAGGGCAATATTTCCTCACCAAGGGCCTCACATACCCACCTTTTAGTGAACAAGGACTGAAAGGGCCAATTGCTGGAAAGATGGGCAGTGTGGGTGACTATCTCCCCTGTCATTAGCAGGCTTACTTTGCCTTCATATACCAGTCCTCAGAAATAAGTGACCACCTTCCCTTAATTTTTCTTGTACCTACATGTTTGCTAAATGATAGAGAGATCTAATGAACAAAAATAGCAATCCTGATCTCATAAGAGTTTGTAGTTTTTGTACCAGGCTTACCACAGTTCTCTAACAATTATGTACCTTTCTCACTGCATTTTTTTTGGGGGGGTGGCATCTGGGCTTGGAGGATGGCTTTGTATTCATAAAAAAGGGTAGCACTTGTTATATTATATTGTGTAAACTGCTTTCATAAAGTAATGTAAATTCCTTAAAAACTTGCATTACAACTAAAAGAGTGCTATTACTCTTCAAATGTAAAGATGATACCACTGTTTTTAATTATTAGGGGGTGGGTCAGAACTGAGCTATTCACATATTTTTATCCTTTATTTTTCTTTGTACCAAATATTTGTTAAACAACTGCTATTGCACAAAAAAGTATCAGAACCTGAGGTATAAACATAAATAAGACATCCTCTTTCACACATAGGTTTCCTTTATAAATTGTTTAGGGAATGTTAAAAATTCAGTCTGTCCACCAAATATGGTTTAACCCTACCTCTGACCAAGGTAACCAATAGTTACTGGCATCAAATTAATGGCCGTGGCTTTATGCCTACTAACTTTAGTATGGTCAATAGCAGAAAGAATAATTCTCAGCCCTAAGTTCCCTCTACTTTAATAGCAGAGAAAATGGCTCATTAAATATTTTTAAATATTCAGCTGAAGAGTATCCCAGGCAACCTTCATCATCCATGAGTCACAAAGCAGCCCACACTGACCTCTTGTCATAGAAGTATCATTTTCCCACGTTATATTAAGGCTAATTTTCATATAGCCTCTGAATATAACTGGTGTGAAAAATGGATTAAATGAATTATTTCTTAAAATTCTATGTTTCTTAGTTTTAACCGAGCTATAAATCTTACTATTTCACCAACCTAACTCAGAAATATCCTTTAAGTAAAATAAAAGCTAGGAGAGTTATTCATTCAATTTTTAAAAGGCTGCTTAAACCAAACCAATGCAGTGTGCAAATATAGAACTTAATTAAAATACTATATATAAAATATTAACAGCTAGAGTTATTAACATTACATTAAATTCCCTTGAGCTAGGCCAACATAAAATGAGCTCTCTTTTCTTTCAATTTTGTAAAGGGCAAAACTTGGTGTAGTGAATGAGCTTTCGGTTTTATACTGTTTGTCTCAATTCACTAATCTAAAGTTGTAATCACATAAAAGTATTTTACCAGCTGCACATCACCAAGCATACTAACTTAATCTTTCCTTTGTATTCCCACAAAAACCTCATGTCTTATTTTCTTTCTTAATGTATAGAATACTGTCTTAAGGCATCTCTCTCATCTTCCTATCCAGCACTGAACTTTCTAAATTAACACAGACATTCTCTGCTTTTGACCTTTTCCAATGAGGTTACAAATAAAACAGTTAATAAACTACTGGCAATTTGGAAGAATTAAAGAACTTAAACAGAAAAAAAGTGGATTTTATTCAGCCTAAGGATTAAGGCATTTATCCAATTCTTATCGTAATAGGTCGTCCAAGGAACTTGGGAAACTAATTAGACCATATCACATTTAAGACTAGAATAAATTACCATTATCAAATGAATAATGTCTTGTTTTGTTTTCCTTCCTACATTCTTTTGCATTTATTAAAATTTTGTCACTGACCATGTATTTCTTCTTATAGTTAGAAAATACCTCATTTCTTGGTGAATGAAATACAACTGATCTGAAGTATGGTAACTTTTTGTGTCTCTGAACTTCCAAAAGATGTCCAATTAATCTAACCAGTCATGTTTTATATTATTATGAAGTTTTGGGCACCTGGGTGGCTCAGCTGGTTAAGCTTCTGACTCTTGATTTTGACTCCAGTCATGATCTTATGGTTGTGAAATTGAGTCCCACATTGCGCTCAGTGAGGAGTCTGCTTGAGATTCTCCCCTCTTCCCCTCCTCTGGCTTACACTTACTTTCTCTATGTCTCTCAATAAATAGATAAACAAATAAAAATAAATTATTATGAGGACTAACATGTACAAATACATACTCGAGAGTAATTTAAACATTTTATCCTAGGTGTATATTAAATCAAATGGTATCACCAGAAGTTAATATTTTTTTTTATTTTTTTTTATTTTTTTAAATTTTTTTTAAAATTTTTTATTTATTTATGATAGTCACAGAGAGAGAGAGAGGCAGAGACACAGGCAGAGGGAGAAGCAGGCTCCATGCACCGGGAGCCCGATGTGGGATTCGATCCTGGGTCTCCAGGATCACACCCTGGGCCAAAGGCAGGCGCCAAACCGCTGCGCCACCCAGGGATCCCGAAGTTAATATTTTAAAGCACAAGATTAGTCCACGCTCCATTCCTCTTTTTAAGACTTCTCTTTGAAAGTTCTTAAGTAGCCAATCAACTGCTTCCTCTGGTAGAAACAGGCCGGAGGAAGTGAAAGGGCGGTACTCTATTGCTATATTTCTGTATTCCCCTCAATGTACACTTCTCAGCTTAAATCAGAAAACAAAAATAGAGGAATCTATTTTCTAATTGAATCAGTATAATGCAGCAGGGAAATACATTGTTGTCTACCCTCAATCATCTAAGATACTGGAGAGAACTGGTAAAAAAAAAAAAAAAAAAAAAAAAAAAAAGCATAGATAGTACAGATAGGCAACTAATCTTCCCTGTGGAAAATTTCATGGAAATGAAGAATGGAGGGAGACCAAGTTTCCAGAGAGGGATGAATCAGAAATCGTCTCTGAGATATCTGAGAATCAGAGCAATGGGTTCTGACCCTACTTCAACTTTCCACCCTTAACATTGGCTCCCTCCCAATTCCCATTCATTCCATTTCTTTATTTTATTGGGCTAAAAAAGAGAAATTAATTGCAGGATGTCGATTACAATTTTATTTATTGATAAGCAGGAAAACAAGACATGACTAATAGTGAGATAGGACACAGTTCTGCTAAAGGGAAGCTGGAAGTACACAAGTGACAAGGGAATCCATGAAAGGAGCACTCACCCCAGAACTGCAGCATAGCGTTTCTAAAGTAGGATGGTGATCACAGATTACTGGATCTGAAAGAAGCACTAAATGTTCTCTGGTCTGTGGTTCCCACATTTGGCTGATAATCAGCTGGAGAGCTTTGCAGAAATATAGAATCCTAGATCCCATCACTGTTGACACCCTTTCACCAGGTCTGGGAGCCCGGCAATACTGGGTCCTTCCCAATATGTTTCACAAAGGAAGAAATTCAGACCCGCAAAAAAAAAAAAAAAAAAAAAAGACTTGGCCAAGCTTATACTACCATTTAGTGTAAAACCCAGAGTGGGTGTGTGGCATATAAGTAAACAAGGAAGTACAGTGAAGGAAGGGAGGAGTGTGGTTAGGTCTAAACTCAGTTGTCTTCTATTATAAGAAGCTAATTTGATTTGTAAGTGAGAGGAACAATCAGAGCATGGGAGCACAAAGTGAAGAAAGTAAAAGAAATAATATGTAATTGTATACATAAATTGCTTCTCTCTTTCCTTCTCTTTCTTCCCTCTGTCTCTCTTTCTGGGTTTCCACAAAATGCTATTTATTCTGCCTGGATGATCCTTGCCCCCACAAACCTAATGCCAGTCAATTCCCTAAGTCCCCTAATCCATTCTCAAATTTCAAAGTAAGTAAATGTTATTTCTCCAGGCCTTCCCTACAATGCCTTTTCCTTTCTCCAATTACACATGTGCACACACACACACACACACACACAGTCCTCTCCAGGAAGCCAAAGGAAAGAATTCCTATTGGCTAAATTCCAAGCATGTTTCATTAGAAAGGAAAGCTATTTGGAAGTCAACAGATTTTTGTCAATGTTCTTGAAATCCTTGAAATCTTAATCCTTTTGAATTGATAAAAGTGTTTTAACACCACAGATCCATCTTGGATAAAAATTAAACTAAGGATTTTCTATGTGGATTGTTGGATTTTTCATATTTTGTATTTGCCACTTCAGGTACCTCCAATCATCCAATGATATAAGCAATAATTGGGAATACAAGAACCCGGCATTTTGTTACCTGCAAATTCAAGATAAAATTTCTTGCAAGATTTGGCACTTGATTATCCAATAAATGTTCATTTAAGAAGTGATTCCAGCAGCCATTTGAGGATTTGGGGTTTGATGCCCAACTATAGTGATTAACTAGCTTCTTCTGATTTGTATATGATGTGAAACAAATAACAATTTCTTTTACCCTAAAGACTGAAATTCAGGAAATCTTTAATATGTCTTGGTTTTAATTTCCTTGGTGAGGGGTGTAAGGAGTGGTCCAGTAGGTAAACAGCATAGAAAAAATGAAAAATTACCTGACCGTCCATCTCTCTGGAAGTCCACATGATACCATTCTCCATCATTCACCTTCTTCTGTAGGGCTTTGATTTTTATTGTACCTGATCCCATGTCCAAGAGGAGGTAAAGATGGCCATCTAGCATCTCAATAGCAAAGAAGTCAACCTTTATCATCTGAGGGTGCTTGGCATCTTTTTGGTGTCTTGGCTTGCCATGGCTAAATAAAATGAGGCCATTTGGCTCTGTTGTGCGAAAATCAAATGATATGGAGCCTGTTTTCTTTGCATTCCATTTAGGCAAAGAGATGAAAGACTCTGGGGTTTCAAAGGTGATTGGGTCCAACGTTGCAACATTCTCACATTTAAATGCCACCACTCCATGAATCTTCATCTTAGGGTCTCCTTGCTTGGCAAGTCGAGATAATTCCAGCCTTACATCATTATTTTTATAAACAACCTGTGGGCAGAGGATAAAAGTGAGAAACCAGGCTCATATTTTAATATTTAGAACTTGTCTTCAGTTCACATAACTTGCAACACATGTTTGCAACACATGTATCATGATGTTTGGTGTATTTTTATATATAAGACCACTTTTTCAGCCAAATAAAATTCAAGTATTAACTCATTAAACAGTAACCATTCCAATCTAATTCCAATCAAATAATGTGTGTACATATACAAACTGGTTGTAGTTGACTCAAATAATTTGAGTGAATTTGCATACAGTTTTCATTATTTCAAGCATGCATAGACTCAAACTTATAAAAGCCATTTGCTTTGGGTTTGGTTATTATACTTTGTTTATTAAATATAAAAGTTTTTCAGTTTTTTCACTACTAAAGTATTTGAAATTAGATATTTTGTATCACTGTTCCCCTAAAAATAGGATCCCATCTATGATATGTAGAGCCACTATGTGTATAAACTCTGTAAGATAATCAGAACAAATTGAGGTAGAAAACATCCTGAAATATCTAAAGAAAATCACAAAATACAACTAACATGCAGAAGCTCCCTTCTCCCTTATGGCCTACATTAACAACTGCTTGAATAATGTTGGGTAACATTAGAACAGTATTGATTCTAAATCTATTCAACCTGTATTACTTGTGTTCCATTTTACTTTAAAGTATACAGACATGGAACAAAGTTTGTCTTGTATTCTAATTTCCCAAGGCATTTCATCCGACTTGGCTAGGTGGTTCTGACTGCTTGTTGATAGTCCTATGGCTTTTTGGACTCTAAATGGCACATTGAACAAATCCACTGACAGGGCTCACAGTATCATGCATCTGCTATCACATCATCTTAATAAACTTGAGCCATTCTGACATAAAGATAAAGAGAGATCCATACCCTGCCTTCTGCCTTTATAAAATGCATACCATGCATAATTACATTTCCAAAATACATATGTCATACTGATTTAAGAATAAATTAGCTCTCTGTCCAGATAACTATCTAAATTATTTTAAGAAGCCATTCAAAAATTCATAGTGGCCAACCCTGACAGGTTCTAAATTCATTTAAATTTCTATAATAGAAAATTTTAACAAATGTTGAAGGAAAGGGAAAAGATCATCATAACAATGTGTGGAAATTATATGGCATATAGATAGATAACGAAAAAAAAAAACACCCAGTCTGTTTTATGTTTTTATTTCTTTGGGATTTATTATATAAGCCCATGAAGCAGAGAAGTGAAATTCAACATTGTGAACTACTCTTAAAAAAAAAGGAAAAAAAACAATATCCTCAAAGAAATATTGATTTTATGAACAGATCCAAATAAGAGTGCAACAATATCATCACTAATTGTTAAGATGGTAGAGTATATAGATATTTTTGAAAGTTGAAACTATTAAACAAATTACAACTTTCTACCTAAATAAAAAAGATATATGAATAACTGTAAATGATTGAGAATCAAATTAACTGGTCAATACAGCAGTTATTTCCTCCAAACCTATGGCAAAACGTAACTGAGCCAACAGTTAGTGCAGTTAGTGAATTTCATGATATGATTTATTAAAGGATATTTTATTTTTCAGAGTGATTAAGAGTGTAGGTTGTGGTATCAAACACTCTTGAGTTCAAATTCCAGCACTATCATTACCTAACTGCATGATCTCTTCAAGCCTTATTTCTTCTCCCTTCTAGGGAGATAACACTTTACAGGACGGTTTTAATTATTAAAGAAAAAAAAACGTAAGTGAGAGAATCTACATAAAGGCAATTAATCCAATGCCAGGTACATTGTGAGATTTTCAATAAGTATCAAATATATCAAACTGCATGAATAATAAATATCATCTCTTCATCATCATCTAGTAGACATGGAAATAACAAATTAATTCATTTTAAGGAAATGCTTAAAATTTAAGCACCCCCATGTTATTGGTATTTTTTTTTAATTTTTATTTATTTATGATAGTCACAGAGACAGAGAGAGAGAGAGAGGCAGAGACACAGGCAGAGGGAGAAGCAGGCTCCAAGCACCGGGAGGCCGACGTGGGATTCGATCCCGGGTCTCCAGGATCGCACCCTGGGCCAAAGGCAGGCGCTAAACCGCTGCGCCACTCAGGGTTCCCTAATTGGGTATTTTATACCTGATTGGTGCCAACCAAAGAAGTCACATCTTTCCACTGCTACTCCGGGTGTTTCAGTCTACCTTTATCTTGAAGGAGGATTATTATAAAGAATACCACATCCATTATTCTTTGAGCAAATGTCTATAATGGTTTAATAAGCATATACTGACAACAAGAGAAAAGAAAATGAACTCAAGCAATAACAAAAGGGAATTAGATTAATTCTTAAGTCTAGTATCTTGAAGAGAGGAAGAGCTATTAAGCCTAGGGTAAGTTGATTTAGGATTGTCTTTCTTTGGGGATCTTTAGAAATGGAGAAAATGGTTTCCATGGATGAGTTTCCAAGTTTTATGGCTTCCCACTATGATTTTCAAGATACCCAAGCCTATATATTGTTTCAATTTCCTTGGAGATTTATATTTTATTATTTGGAGATTCCCTTGACAAAGACATTGATCAGGAATGAGTACAACATTTTCCGACCCAATTGATGTAGATGATCATGTTGACCTATGCTAACACATTGCCGTGAAATAGAACCACTACAATAGAGTCAGGTGTTTCTGAGATGAGTAAGTAGTATAAGGCTTGTTATATTCCCTCAGGAGTCCAATATCAGCTACAAAAAGTTGACGGATTTGGGGTTAGGGCAATTCTAGCTAAGGATTTCAGTGAGTGATTTATAATCTCATGAGTGAATTGGATGCTCTGGGGAAAAGGAGACTCAAGAAGATGGAGAAGAAAATTAGGGATTCCCTTGATCAGGTAACTTAGGGCTAGCCATGCACATACACTCTCCCTCCACACACAGCCCCGCAAATCAATCAATCAATCTATCAATCAATCTCCACCAGAATCTATGCTTTGTGCAGACACGATTCTTGCTTACTGTAGTCAATCATCAAGGTCAGAGTCTGGCACAAAGCAGACACTCAATAAATATCTGCTGAGAACTGGATAAAATTCTTTATTCACTTCTTTTTTTACCTAGTCCCAGGTTATAGGCTATTATTAACAATATTTATAAATGTAGCTAAGTAAAGCAGAGTGTGGTACTGCAGACTAATCTCATGAGCTAGCTACTATATTTAGTCTATTTCTTTAGAAAAATGTAGAAACTTCTGTGCGTGTTCAGTTATAAAAGTTATAAACGGCAAGCTGGCCTGTGTATTAGAAAACTTTACCTTCAAACTCATATTGCGGGGTTTAAATTACTTTTAGAATGAAAAAACACCTGAGTTAAAATTCTCCAGAGGTAGAATCATTTTCCTAGAAGAACTACCTTGAGGAGAAGCACGATATATATATATATTTTTTTTCCTTCTCATTTTGTATTCTTTGAAAGGTAACTCCAGAAGACAGAAAAGCAATTTTGGAGAGGCAGGCTGATAGCTCTCACAACTACACTTCTACTTCATCTGACCCAGATTTCATAATCACTCTACTTTTCAAGTTAGACTTACTCTTAAAGAGACCTGAATATAGTTCAATTACAATAATATGTAGACAGCAAGCACGCCAACTCTTCTAAAAACTCACATGTAAGATATTTTTTTGCTTCTTTTTCAACTAATATGATTCTCAATCAATTACAGTTATTCATATATCCTTTTTATTTAGGTAGAAAGTTGTAATTTGTTTAATAGTTTCAACTTTCAAAAATCTCTATATACTCTACCATCTTAACAATTAGTGATGATATTATTGCACTCTTGTTTGGATCTGTTCATAAAATCAATATTTCTTTGAGGATATTGTTTTTTCCTTTTTTTAGAGTAATTCACAATGTTGAATTTCACATCTCTGCTTATATAATAAATAAATAATAAATCCCAAAGAAATAAAAACATAAAAGAGACCAGGTGGCTTTTTTGTTGTTATTTATCTATATGCCATATAATTTCCACACATTGTTATGATGATCTTTCCCTTTCCTTCAACATTTGTTAAAATCTTTTAAAAGTCCCTCAAACTTAAATATGCAAGCACAGGAACAATATGTCTGTAGTTTTGTATTCCCAGGCTTAAAATTTGAGGTAGACAATCACTGAGTGTTTTATTTGATCTTCTTATTAGTCCTAAAAAGCAAGGGAAATAAATAGGTTAAAAAGAAAAGTTTGAGAGTCTAGGTATAGACATGGCTTAATCACAAAGCTATTATCTAAGTCAACTTGCCTAACCTCTCTCTCAGGTTCTTAAATTCTAGAATATGTATATAAAGGAAAATGATGTCATACCTATAAATCCTGAGCTTTCTCTCCCTTAAATCTTTTGTCTCCCAAAAGATCTTTTGGACAATCTTTTGTCTCCCAAATCTATGTGATTTGGGACAACGATGAAAGACATTCTATTGTTCCTTCTCTTTGTCTGGCTTGTTCCAGTTGTGGTTTGATGTCAGGATATTGCTCTCTATTCTGAGATACGTTGAAGCACTAATCCGTTAGGTAAAGAGAACATTCACGACATCCTTAGGCACATAGACATGCATCAAGGATTATATCTTTCTAAGGTTTGTACAGATGGTATTAAAGAACTGATGGCTGATAGATAGAGCCCTTTCCACAGGAAGTGGGAGTGTGTGAAATAAGCACATCAGTAGGAAAGCATTTGCTACTCAAATAATGACTATTTTGTTGTTATAAATAAATGTTTCAGCTTAGACATTTTCATGAAGCTCTTGAATTAATTAGCATGCATTGATCAAAGCTTTTCATACCTCAGCTGTGAGCGTCTGCAGGTGATGAAAAGGACACCGAACTTAAAGGCAAGGAGTGATGCCGGGATCTAGACTCGGTTGTGACCTGAGAACATGAATGACTTATTCTAATCTGAGTCTTGGTTCTCTCTAATAAAAAGTAAGTGC